AGCTCTAATATTCTGTATTCTAAGGGCCTCCTAGCTCTGACATTCTGTGCTCCAAGGCCCCTCCCAGCTCTGACATTCTGTGCTCCAAGGCCCCTCCCAGTTCTGACATTCTCTTCTTCAAAAAACCTCCTTGACATTCTAAAATTCTAAATGGAGGAAAGGGTTCCCCTTGGACAGGCGGATTTCAAAGATGCTAAAAGTCAAAGGTGAAGAAACTGAGTCAGATGCAGATCAGCCCTAGAACATCTGTGCATGGAAAACCAACATCTCCTTTGCTTACCTGCCAAGGACAGGAAGAAAGCGAAAGAAAAAGAGAGAGAGAGAGAGAGAGAGAGAGAGAGAGAGAGAGAGAGAGAGAAAGAGAGAGAGAGAGAGAAGCAACGTTGTCTCCTTCTAAAACCAACTGTTAGCAGCTGGGGGCAAGAGGGGGACAATGAGGGTTATGGGTGAGGTGACAGAAATCCTCCCTGGGATCTGCTCTTGAACATGGAAATAACAAAGAAGCAAGTCTGAAATCTTAGTTAAGGGGAGAGAGTTATAAGGGTGCAGAAAGCTCAGAAACTTGCTCTCCAGAGACAACATGATAACACAGGAAAAACCTGCACTGGGAGTCCAAGGAGCTGAGTTCGAATCTCAGCTCTGCTACCTCAGTGACCTTAGGGAAGTGACTTCTCTGGTATTCTTACCTATAAAATGGTGGGTAGGTATGAGGGGGAGAAAACTAGAGGATCTTTTCCAATTATCCTAGACCTCTCTGAGCCTTCCTATCTCTCTCAGCCCTGCTGCTGCTGCTTCTACTTTCAGAGCTGTCCTGATAACACCAACAGGATCCCAATAGTCCGTAAATCCCTCTAGACTATCTTAGGAGACACTAGGAGGACAACTGCCCAAGGAGCCCCTGGCAAGTCCAGCCCCAACCCCCAGCTCCGGGATAGCTGTGAGCTATACCAATGGAGGAAGGTGGCCTGATGCTCTCCATCCAGGGACTTCTTCCTACTGGACAAACACCAGAAAGGACCTGGAGAGAACCAAGGAGGCCTTGAGGTATGGAATAGGGAATGCCAACCAGGGATCTGCTCATCACTCTCCTCCCTTTGTGGAATAAAACTCAGAAACAGATCAAAAGATTTACGGAATTTACCCAAACAGTGAGTGCCCTCGTCCTCCCCAAATTTCCTGGAGTTGTGTCAGTCTGAGATGTGTGTGAGCTCCCCACCCTGCATTATATTAACTGTGAATGTGTCTTATCCCTACAGCAGATTCTAAGTTTGTCTTTGTCTTTTCTCCCCAGTGCTTAGGCCCATTATAGGCACTTAGCAAAGGCAAGATAGCTGATGGACTTACCACAACGCTTTGCACATAGTAGGTGCCTAATTAATGTTGCTGCACAAATTGTCTTGTCTAACTTTAGTTTACAGAGTGAACAATTGAGTCAAGGATGAGGAAATGCAAACAGCAGAGCCCGGATGGAAGCCCAAGGCCTCTGGCTCCAAACCCAGCACCCTCTCCAAGTAGAACAGCAGACACTAAGCTAGAACCTAATGGTTCCAGAATCACTAAGCTGTGATTATGTACCTAGCCTGTGTAGAGCCCTAAGCTGCTGAGGAAGGAGATACAAAGATTAATTATGACACAGCTATTGCTCACTGCTAGGGGATGAAGAAAAGCAAGCTTACCAAAGGGCTGGAAAACCAGCCCCACAAGCTAGAGTTTAGGGAGAGAGGAAATGAAGCAGGAGACAGGGGTTGATACCTGAGTCTGCAAAGTGGTAGCGTCCAACACAGTGACCTGGTGCCCACAACTGGCCCACACAGCATCCTCCAGGCTCAGCAGGGTACGAATGGGGCCAGGGCCCACACTCAAGCAGGTTGGTGGACTCTCCATCTCCCACAGGCCCCCTGGGGGAGAAAAAAGATTATGGGCTTAGAAAATGTCAGAACTGAAACTTGAGAACAGAATATGTTGGAGATGGAAGAATCCTTAGAATGTAGAATGTTAGAACTGGGAGGAAACTTGGAAGACAGGATGTCAGAGCTGGGAGGGCCCTTAGAACACAGGATGTCAGAGCTGGGAGGAAACTTGGAACACAGGATGTCAGAGCTGGGAGGGCCCTTAGGACACAGGATGTCAG